AATTGTACAATGCTATTTACCATCAGAATTCATCACCTATAAATATAGTCATTAGTTTTAAGTATTATACAACTGTGTTTTCTTTCTCTGTACATGCCTGGCGCCCAATATCTATATATCTTTTGTTTATTACTATTGATTAATTTTCTCTCTAGTGAAATACCTTATCCACGACTGCTCTCCGATGAAAAGCTGCCGTTCGCAGTGGTAGTTGTTTAAAAAACGCTACAACATCTATTCATTCACATCGGTAGAATCGCATTATTGTCGCGCTTCTAGTACCAAGAAGTACCTGGATCCATCTCTCAATCTATCAATAATTCATGGAATGTATAAAGAGATCTGCATCACAAACAAAAGCCGGTGACTTTTGAAAAATACCGACAAGTATTTCAGGGATACAATTTCGGTTTTTTAAAAAGAACCAATGCAGGAGGTACTTGGTGCGAAACTCCTTAACTGAAGAAAAAAAAATCTAAAAGAAGATAACTACAAAGGACATCTAGAAAGAAAAGTCGCCGCACGAGAAGCTCGTGACGAAGATTACCCTCGCAAAAGGAAATCCTCAAATTCTAACTTTCAATTTTGATCTGCAAGCTGTCCTCTATAATTCGCAAAGATCCGCAGGCCAAATTTTCTATTTGCGAAAATTGGCAGTCTACAATCTGACAATGTACAATTTGGGTAACCAAAAGGTTTAGGATCTATGGGATGAAACTCAAGATAAACGTGGAGCAAATGAGAAATGAGCCTCTTGTGTGTATGATTTTATCATGTCCCACATTGAAATCACCGAGGTCCGTATGATGTCAAATGGATGTGGTGGACAACAGAAGAATTCTGTGTTTGCTTCTATGTGTATGCATCTACTGAAGAACCATCAGTCCTTGTGGATTATTGACCACCGTTTTTTTAAACTGATCGTAGTGAAATGGAGTGTGTCTCCATCCACTCCAAAATTGAGAGGAAGGCAAAGTATGTACCAGTGTATACTCCTGATGGTTGGGCGCAATTGATTCGAAGTGCTCGTGTATCTCCAGAGCCGTTCGAAGTAAAAAACATTTTGTATGATGAATTTTATGATTTCAAGGACTTTTCAAGCAGTTCAAATTTCAAAATTCCATGGAGGAGTGTTTGCTGGCTCCGCTACTTGAAAGACGAGCCTTCAAAACTGTATTACAAGACTAGCTTTCCTGAAGATTTTTCGGAGCTAGACTGCCGCAAAATAAGGAACAGAGGTCGTCCTTCAGCATCGATGATAAAAAAAGCCTTCAATTATGAACTTCATATAAGTGAAGCAGGGCTTGACTTACGAGGCAGATGACTTACTGACGGCTTGTCCTACGAGGCAGATGAGGCAGTGCCTCACCAATAAATTTGAAAAATTACATGTATTAATCGATACATCTTTAATCACAATTTTATATTTTTTCCCTATTTGCATCAATAGAGTAAATTCGGGGATTACGGAATATATCCGGTAATATGGAATACAGCATTTTTTGCTAAACTATTAGCGCCATCTATTAGAGATGAGCAAAACTGCGATTTTGATTGTGATTTATAAATCGCTGCGACTGTAACTTGCGATTGCGATTTCTAGATTTTTAAATTGGTACGCTGTAAACTGGGAAGCTTAATCCTAAAATTTTCAATAAAAAAACAGAAGAAATAGCGAAATCATATTTTTTATAAAAACTTACAAAGAAACTGTTGGGTGTTTCGATGCCATGTGCCTTTTAAAATTTGTAGTACTTGTGGTTTATGATATTTTTGCTGCAAACATATTGCACTTTTTTCATCAATCAAAATTTTCATCAATTACCAAAAAAAATCCACAAATAACTTAGTTTCCTTTTTTTAAACATTTTTGATTAGAACAGACCGAATAAATTTAAAAGGGAAATTAAAAATAGGGTAAACCAACCAGTGAATGAATGTGACCCAGTTAATGAACAAAATAACTTTATCTTGCTCTATTAAAATATACGGCCATTAAACTCTATTTGTTGTCCTTTTTTAATCTAACTTACACTGCGTAGTTTACGACTAACTTGCTAAAATACAACCAGTTAATAAACGACACGTGCAAATCGCTGTTCAAAGTTGTGGTCTGACGTTGTTAGTCTTTTAAGCGCCATTTTCTTTAGGGTAAGTAGATACATATCCTATTATTAATGATGGTATTTAATTGTTCATAAAATATAAAAGCTTGGCAGTGTGTGAGAATATATATTTCAACAATTCATCGTTATTAATCCAAAAGTAAAACATCTATTGTCTTTTAGGTTATATTTTCATTTAATGTGTTTAATAACTGGCGGGAAAAAAGTTCAAATTCCAGTGAACGAACGGCTGTTCATTTACTGGTATTTTATTCGATTATCTGAAATTGCTTTAAAATGACCCTTAAGCTTTGTTTACATATGTAAATCCATTAAAATACCTTAAATGTAATAAAAATAAATGCCAGCCAGTAAATGAACAGGATTTTGAATCGTTTACTTACTGGATATTGTTCCTGTTCATTTACTAGATTAGGCATAAGACCTTTTTGCAAATGATGTCTGTCTATTATTATTAGGATAAGTGGGCACTAGTTTTTATTTTGGAGGTTTAATTTTTAGTATTATAGTTTTATTAAAAGTATTACTAAAACGGCGGTTACTAAAAATAAATATTTTTTGTTGGTACAGATGGAGCGGAAATACACTAGATTCAAATATTCCAAAGAGCAGTTGTCACTGGGTATCAGAGCAGTAGAATCAGGCAGCATGAACTTAAGTGATGCCGCTAGGCGATAACTTCAACAAAATGGGTAGAATTTCATCAAAAACAAGATAAAATAAAGCGTCAAAAAGAGGAAGACATTAAAAAAAGAAAACTCGATAGAGAAAGAAAGCGAATGGAACAACAAGAACGAAAAAATATGATCAGGCGACAGTATGAAATAAAGAGACCTAACAGAGACTTGAGTGAAAACCTGTCACTTTTTGAATTGAAGCTAAAACAAGGACAAGAAAGAAAAACATGCAAAAAACAAGAGAAAAAGTCAGAAAAGCGGAAGCGTGATAAAGATCAGAAAATCGAGCAACAGTATACAAAACGGTTTAACAGAGATGATTCCTCAAGTACGGATGAAAATCTGTCACTATTTGAATTGAAACTACAAGGACAAAAAAAGAAAACATACGAAAAACAAGAAAAATGGCCAGAATCGGACGAAGAAGGAACTAGGAATAAAATTTCCCCTAAATTGTCATCAATAAGTTTAGAAAAATCAACATCAAATTTTGACTTAAGTGTTCCTTTTGTTAAAGGTGATTATGTTCTGGTAAACTATGAGGATTCACATTATCCTGGCCTAATAAAGGCTGTTAAAAATAATGAATATAAAGTAAGTGCTCTCAATAGTACATTTATTTATTTATCGTATGGCAAACACATGGTACAATAAAAGTAATATGTATACAAATATACACAAAAGAATATAGAAAAACATGTACAACACTCAAAATTATAAACAAAATATATACACTGACAGAGGTAAAGATAAAAAACATCCATAGTACAAAAAAGAACACTTGGAAGTGGCCGTCACCACCTGATCAAATATGGTATTATTCGGATAAAATTGTGAAAAAAATTGCTGTTCTTATACCTCATAGCGCTGAAGGGACTTATGTTATTAATATGTAAATGCAGCATAATGTTTTTTATATTATACTCTTACCTGATTATGTTTATTAAAAGCTTATGTTTATTTAAACTTGAATTTTTGTAAAGCTTAATTTAATAAATACAACGTTCATTAACTGGTCTTTATGTGTTTATTCACTGACTTCTATCGTTCATTTACTAGATATTTCGCTTATTCGCCGAAAATTAAAATTTGTGAAACCGTATTATTTTATTTTTGTGTCTAGGTAATATTTTCTTAATTTTTCAATTATAGATAGTTGCCTTTGTACCAGTTTTACCACATATTATATAAAATAAAAAATCGTGATTTATTTAAAGTTAATACTTCGGTTAACTGGTCATTCACTGGTCGATTGACCCTACATAAAATGTTCAAAATATATGAATGTGCTTTTAGACTGTCTATAGGTATACTAACGAAAAATTTATTATAAAAAAGGTTGCCGCCAACCTTAATTCAGATAACTAGAAAAAAAACTGTTTATTTTATCTTTTTTTCTTTTAAAAGCATTTCCTTTATATGTAACTGAAAAGAAGCCGACGCCGACGGCTTTGATACGGACAGTCCAGTGCAAGTGCAAACTTTCGAACTTTTAGAAAAATAAAAGAACAATATCACATTTTATTATATTTGAAATTTCTCTAAAATGAAAAAACTGATTGTAAAGGATGTATTTAAATTAACATAGCAGCCGATCCTGAATATTAACTAACAACTGTAGAATGCAGCTGACAATTTTGATTGACAAATCGGTAATGGGAGCGTTGAAAGCCTATTACAATGAAGAAATTCGACAATTTTTGAGGCAAAATAACCGTCCAATACCTCAATATGACATCAGTGACGTGCTTGGTAAAGCTTATTTGAAGATACAGGGCAGTCAATGGATTTCGGCAAACTGGTATTTTTCCAGTAAACAGAAATATATTTACAGAAGAGGATTTTCTAGAAGAAGCACAAAGAAAAGATGAAGCGCCTATTGAATTGATCACTTAAACCCATCGCGTGACCAGGAAGATGTCGGCGATAGGACAAATGGTTTTACCACAACATATAGTTCCAGTTCCTGTTCTCAAAAAGCGACAAGGCGTAAGAAGTCGAAAATCTGGAACAGCTAAAATTTTAACTACGACTCCAAACAAAAATGAACTGGAAGAGGCAATCTCATCGAAAAATGAAAATAATAAATTTAAAAGAAAAGTTGAGTTCGACGGAAAGGAAACACCAACCGGTGACGGACGGTGCAAAACCTGGTAGTAGCAAAAATTAGTTGTGATAGAAAAAAGCAAGAAAGGAAATGGTGGAAGATACATCCTCTGATGATTTAAATGAAAGTATTCCATCCTTGAATGACTCCACTGATGAGGAAGAATTGCCGAATATGAACGGTAGGCCGAAAGTTGAAGCAGAATGTATTTTCTGTACAGGACGATTCACGGCAGACGTAAAAGGAGAAATATGGATACAGTGCCTATGATGCGACCTCTGGGCAAAGACTACAAAGACGGGACAGCCGGCAAAAGATGAAACGTTTTTGACTTCGGCTTTCAGTGACCTCGTCCCTTTAAAGTGCGACTTCTAGGAGACTTCCATTATTGCCATACTGATTTTAAGTCCACAAAATTTCATCATAAATTATGCATGATATATGATAATGAACATATTTTTTGTATATATTTTTGATGTAATACCTGTATTTTAAGTTATTATGTAAAGTATGGCAACATTGAAAAAAATTGACAAGGTTGGACTAGGTCAGAAATTTTCTAACCTTATATTTTTTACGCTTTTACAAGTTTGTAAATTTTAATATTTAGTTGAAATATTTAATATTGTAATTGTTACTTAAATAAGAAAAAAAAAATATTGTATAGTGTCATCACGAACGTTTTAATAGTTAAATAGATACTTTCATAAAATATGAAAATGAAAACATCAGAAAATGTTACAGACATTGGCGAAGAGATATGAAGAGTATTATTTATAATGACTTTTCAGTAATATTGATTTCTATGAAAGGAAAAATTGGTTAAAAGGTAACTGATAACTGAGATAAGCATACAATCTAGAATATTTAAGAATAAATTTTACAGATATTAGGAAACTCTTATTGTGGTGAAATGGCAAGATAGTATTTTCCCAAGAATTATTGAAAAGTAAGATTATTTATTGAAAAAGATTACATTTCAAAGTGACTGAATATTAAGCTAAGGAGATATATATTTAGGAATACTTACTAACAACTGTGTTTCTATTCTACTTAAATCGATAATTTTTACTTGTCTGTTGTCGCCTACTACGGTATTTTCTTAAAATAGTATTTTTGCATTCTTTGGGGGTAGATCGCAACGACTCGAAGGTATTCTTTCTATCCAAACACCAACTAGGTATTCAACATCATCAACAAATCATACGGAAAAGAATTTTTAACGAAGCAATTTTAAAGAAATAATTCGTAATCTAACTTTTCAAAACATTAGCATTAGGCGAAAATAAACTTGTTAGATGGAAATACAATGTTGCCACGTATAAAAAATGTTACCTGAATTTTGGGAAACTTTATAATTTACTACAGTAAAATTTTTAGTAACACACAACAAATATTACATTTATAATAGTATCTAAATGAATATAACTCAGATGTAATTATTTTATTGCATTGGCATTTATATATTTAGTATTATAATTCGTTTTATAATAAGATATATTTTATTGAATTCAGTTAACTGTTTTATACTTGGCGAGAACGCAATTGCTTTGAAATTGTCCCTTTAAAATGCGGCCCCGTCTGTCTTTTTTTTAAATCGTTTCTCTGTCCCACTGTTTCGTCTTGTGTAGTCTTTGCTCTGGGCACACGAGTTATGCGCAGATACTGAACGCGGTGACTATTATATTTGCGATTTTTGTCGCGAGAATTTTTTTATGTGAAATATGATACTATTCCATATTACCGTATACACGTATTTCATATTACCCGACCATTTTTTCGGCAAGCCAAAAATGTACTTTTTTTGTTAACGCGAAATAATTTTCTATGTTTGCGTTTTTTAAATTTTTTACCAAAGTTCGATATAATAAAACCTTTGAAAAATCCATTGTTATTTTTTAATTTTTTTTAAAATACACTCAGATGCAAAAAAAACGCAACGGAGAAAATTTTGGTTAAATTTAAACTGTTATATTTTTGTTATTTTTAGGCCTTCATGAATTTTTTAGCGAGCTGTGCATAATTATATCAACTTTAATTTCTAAACTCAGTTTTTTATAAACTTTAGTATTTGGTACAGGGTAAAGACGGGTAAGATCGCGCGTCTGACAAGAGTACGCAGAGACAATATCTACGCGTTAGAGTGAGATAGAAATATACTATTCAAACGTGTGGTTGTGTTCGACGTAATCGTTTGTTTACTGTGTTTATTGCTGTTTCGGTGGAAAACCAAAAAAAAAATACAGGTAAGAATTTATTTTTAACTGTTTTCTTATAATTATTTTTGCAAATTTCTCAACAAAAATATCTGATATCAGTCGTTTGAATTCTGTTTTCATTCCGGCATTTCAATACCCATTTATAGGTTAGGAGTTCATAGGGGTTCGGTAAACGTTTGTGATTTACAACATGTTAAACAGCGTTGCCAACTTTTTGCCACGTCATCTGCTAAGAGTGCGCATGAAGGGATCGGCCAAGAGTGCGCGCGTACTCTTGGACGATATGTGCACGCACTCTTAGACGACCGTTTGACCTTAATATTTAAATATTTTTTAGGCGTTTTATAATGGGAAATTACAAGCGAAAAACACAGCGTAGGTTAATTTTTACTGAGGAAAATCTCAGAGAAGCAAGAAGAAGGATTGAAAATGGAGAAAGCCAACGACAGGTTGCTGTGTCAATGGGTACAAAGGAATCCACTCTTAGAAAAAGACTAAAAACTGTAAGAATAAAAAAATGAAATTCAAAAATACAATATTATCCTTTTGTATTTTTTTAAGGAACTGTACCTAGCAGTCTTGGCCGATTTAAGCCAATTTTTACAGAAGAAATGGAAAAAGAATTGGCAGATCATTGTCGAGACTTGGATGGCAGATTTTATGGAATAGGAACCAAGAATCTTCGAACGATTGCTTATCAATTTGCCGAGCTAAACGGACTTGGTCATTGTTTTAACAAAGAGATGGCAGGTAAAGATTGGGTGTATGCATTTTGTAAAAGAAATCACCTCTCTTTGCGCTCTCCCGAAAAGTGCAGCGTAGGAAGAGCCATGGGATTTAATAGGGAACAAGTGGGCTTATTTTTTAAAAATTTAAAGTGTTTCTTGAAAAAAAAATACCTCCGCACCGCATCTTTAACATGGATGAATCTGGAGTATCCACTGTGCCCAATAAGCTTCCCAAAGTGTTCGCAAAAAAAGGGAAAAGACTAGTTGGCAAAATCGTTTCTGCGGACAGAGGCCAAACAGTGACCGTTGTTTGCTGCATGTCGCCAACTGGGATTTTTGTTCCACCATCCATTATATTCCCACGAAAACGATGCAAGCCGGAGCTTTATTATGGAGCACCAACTGGAACGCTTCCAATGATTTCCGACTCAGGCTACATGAAGTCAGATATTTTTATAGACTTGTTGACATTTTCAAGGTTTCGTCAAATCTTCCGAGGAGGATCCGGTTTTATTGATCCTTGACAATCACGTGTCGCATCGATCTTTGGAAGCAGTACTGTACTGTCGAGAACACCACATTATCTTACTTTCCTTGCCCCCACATGCAAGCCATCGCCTTCAACCGCTCGATCGGAGCTTCTTTGCTCCGCTAAAAACCGCATACTCTACTGAAGCTGACAAGTGGATAATCAGCAACCCTGGTAAAGTTATAAGCCTTAGACATGTATCCGAGCTTTTTGGGGCAGCTTATTCAAGAGTAGCGACAATTTCTATAGCTGCAAACGGATTTAAAAGCACAGGAATTTTTCCATTTGCAGATGATATTTTTACTGATGACGATTTTAGGCCTTCAGAAGTTACAGACAGGGTTTTGATAACATCACAGGAAGAGAGGTCTAGTTCATCAGACGATAGTGATAGGCCTCTACAGTTAGTTCGAGAAAAGTTATCCAAAAACAAAAATCCTGACAAGCAAATAAAAGTGCCGCAAACTCCAAACAGAGATAACAAATTGAATAGTTGGGAATCGTGCGAAAGGCACATCAGTGAAAGTGAAAAAGAACCAGTAGCTTCAACAAGCACTTGTGTCAATGTGTCAACAACTCCTACTGTAAGATTTTTCAAAGACAAACCAAGCCTAACAAGTAGTTCAACTATTGTTTCCCCATCGCAAATTTACCCGTTACCTAAAGCCCCTCCTGAAACTCAGCAACGAAGAAAGCGCTCTCAGAAATCTGAACTTATGACGGAATCTCCATTTAAAAATGAATTATTGTCGAAGGATCAAAGTTCAAAAGTGACACATAGCGTAAAAAGAAGAGTCATAGAAGATGAATCAACCAAAAATGTAAAAGAAAAAATTATAAACAAAAAGAAAAAGAAAAACAGCAATGAAATTGGAGTATTTAATTGGAGCAAGAAAGTACAAAACATACCAGTAGGAAGTCAAAAATAGAAACTACTCAAAACGGAATTTCAAAAAATCAAAAAAAGCAGCAAAGAGTGAAAGGAAAGGAGAAAGAAGTCCGTTCAGTTGAAATACTCTGCCCTAGCTGCCACGTGGGTGAAAATGGAGATGACTGGGTGTTATGTTCGTAATGCAATTATTGGTGGCACATACATTGTTCCAGTTATGAGGAGATCGGACCCTTTTTGTGCGATTTATGTGCCTATTAAATAGTGCGTACTCTTAGCCGGATCATAAATGCACTCTTGAACGACGGGTTGCCTAAGAGTGCGCATTTACATTTTTTTGTTAATTTGTTTTTTAAAGAAAAATGACTTTTTGTTCTTATTTTTTTACTGTGTCATTGTATATCGAAATAATGTATCTTTTCTCATGTAACAGGGTTTTGAGCTTAGTTTTGTATTTGTGCTTAAAATAAAGGATTATTTCTTAAGTGCGTACTCTTACCCGAAATACCCCTATTATACAGGGTTAATCGAGGGGTTGTTTTTTACACTAACTTTGACACACCCTGTGCTATAATTTCTTGTATAAATTTTCCTGAAATATAATTTTAGGGTCAGAACCGTGTCTCCTGAGCATTTTGTTTTTTGTATCATGTCAATACATGCCTTGGTTAATTTTTAAGAGCGAAATGAACTTGCTATCAACAATTTGCAATTTTTTCAATTATAATTTATTTTTGAAATTTTTTTTTCAATATGACAAGGCAACTTTGGTGATTATTGTGAACTATAACTACTATGAACTGCCCATTATGTTCGACGTTTGGGAAATGCTTAGCAGGAGGGTTAGAGGTCGCGAAGCGTTACCAGTTTCATTAAGGCTGCCCTTCCCTAGACAAACTATAACACCTGCGGGGAATCCGAAGAGACGAGGTAGCTTTTAAAGTAACAGAAGGCGGTGCATCGACTACTCGCACTTACGAATCTCTCGAAAAATCCAGGGTCAACGGCGCCCAAAATCCCATCGGTGGACCATATTTTATGGAAAAATTATTTTGCTCGTAGATATTATTCAATATGTGTTAAAATTACAAAGTCAATATAACAAACAGCAAACTTAAAAAAGTTTTTTTTTTATTCTAGAAGCTACAGATGCCTGACGCACTCTTGCCGGACTGTGCATCCAACAAAACAATATGCTCTACCACACAGGGTGGCAGTTTGGGGCAGATTTATTTTGCTCGGCATAAAAGAATAAGGACTACCTAAGCGAATGACATGTACAAAAAATACGATATTTCTACATTTTTTTTAAATCGTTCATAAATTTTAAAGGTTTTTTTTTGAAAAATATATTTTAACAAAAATGACCCTAATACAAATATGGGAAAATATTATTAAAATGTGAAAAAGCAGAAAAACAGTAAAAACTTTCCCCTATCATCTACATTCATCATAAAAAAATATTTGTAAAATATACGTTTTAAAAAAATTACAAAATTGACACACTTCTGCTGCGATATAATAGCATTGTATTAGTTACCACAATTCCATTATTCATTTGCTTTTGTTTTGTGATGCTCCAAATCCTACTTGTTGTAAATTGATAACAAGATTTATGAAATATTAATATATTTTTTTGGAGATAATCAATGTTTTTAGTAACACTGGCTCTCTGTTGGTTCCTGTGTGGACATCCTTGGGGATTAAACACGAAATTATTTTCAAAGATGAAGTTTTTTGAAAAAAAAAATAAAAAACAGCTTACGGAATTCTACATAAAATGTCTTTTGACCGAATTGGTGGATCCTAGAAAATCTAGAAATATGCCTATTAGAAATATCTCTGTTAAAAGTTAAATAGTCCACCGTAATCGTCCATTTTTTAAACAATATTATTATCTAATATAATAAATGTTTATATGCATTATTATTGCCTATATGTATGTCCATTGACTTCGTATATGTAGATACTTTTTGAGTAAAGATATCATCTTAGTACATCTCAGTGTTTTTTATTTTATCTTGGTGTTTTTTTTTAAAAGAATTATTTTTTGTTTGTAGAGTACTACTATTATGGCACTTTAACTATCATCAGTATAATACATAGTAGTATAATTTTTATCACTTTTAACAATATTAATTTTTTAAACAATTTAAAAATAATAGAGCAAAGTAAGAATAGGTAGTAACAATTATTATATCATGTAATGTATCATGTACTATCTCTTTATTTAATGCGATATAACGATTTTACTCTAATTTTTGCTTATTGAAATCGCGGTGCCGGTCAAAGTCACTGTGGTCTTCCATTACTTCACAGCGGTCAAACCATCTTATTTATGGTATATTAATTATTTATTGTTTTATGTTTTGTTACATTGCATCATGATCAATGACCATACACACACAATAGATGCAATGCAAACTTTGTTTGCCGTGTGATTTGATTACAAAATAAAATTTCAAATTATTGTGTAAGAGGCAAGCGTTATAAAATAATTTATCCAAATAATTCGAATACGTACCTGGTTTCCTTTGCCCGCCTTCAAAAGCGTCAGCAACAAAATTCACGTGAGGGCACCACATTACAAGCAACAAAAATGATCAAAATTGGGTTTGCAGAGGGTCGGGCGTCACAAAATTGCGACCATGTTTTTTAATATTTTGAAAAAAAAAATTGTTTCGCTTTATTAAGGAAGCTTCCGGACATGCTCGCAATTAGTTTTAAAATCGATTTGAATACATTTAATGCTAAAAAAATTACTTATAAAATCATCTTTTTTTAGGGCATTTTAGGGGTAAATTTGAAACAGTTTGAGTTGAGTTTGGGGAAGGAAATATAATTATAAGCACGTCTTAAGATGTATACAAAGAAATAAAAAAAGATTCGTGAAGAAAGGTCACATGGTTTTTACAGCATTTTGTGACAGCCAAACCCTGCTAGGAAAGAATGAAAGTGAACTGATTGTATTTATGAGTGAAAGAGACAATGAAAACCAGAGACAACGAATTGAACAACGAACACCAAGAAGTCACCTTAACAGGAACTTTCAAACTGACAGGATTTATCGAAAACATAGGTACGAGCCATATTCTAAAGAACGCGCTGTCGCAAAAATTTCCAAATTTACTGGAACTTGCTACATTTGCGATAAACCTGGACATAAGTCGTTTGAATGTAAGAACAAACACCAGCAGAAACCAGCAGTAACATCTTCCTCTGCGTTCAAAGGAAATAATATTAGTGTGTGTAATCATTGTAAAAAGGTGGGACATACCGAGGAAAAATGCTATTTTAAAGTTGGATTTCCAAATAAAAATTCGGCTGAACCCAAAAGAAAGAATTCTGGGAAAATTTTGTTAATCAAAGGACGACGTTGCTTGGATAAAATACCAATGGCCACAGCAATTACTGAAAATAATGTAAAGTTTACCTATTTATTGGACACAGGAGCTGAAATCTCACTATTACATGAACATGTTGCCAAACAACTGGGAGCCACCATAACTTATTCTGAAAAAACGTTAAAGGGACTTGGTAAAGAGCTTACGCAAGTCAAGGGCTCTTGCATCATTATTGTAATTTTGCCTCATGTTACATTGGAAGTTGAGTTTCTTATAGTTGCTGACAACACTATTCCTGATCTGGACGCCATTATTGGATGGGACGTTATCAGCAGACCTGGCCTTAAGCTGATCAAGACTAACAACGGGTTGGATTTACAACACGATGCTGATGCAACAGTAAGATATACTCAACAAATCGACAATGAACAACAGATGTCAGGAATGGACGAGACGGTGAAAATAAAAATAGAAGAAATGCTAACGCAAGCTATGGAAGAAGCTCCACCTGCAGTAGTAACAGGACATCTGACCATCACTCTCAAAGATAATACTCCTGTTGCTTATCGACCACGACCTTTGGCTTATGCTGAAAGAGCACAACTTAAGAAGATAATTGAAGAGATTTTAAGCGAGGGCATTATTCAGGAAAGTACGTCTGAATATGCGAGCCCAATTGTCTTAGTTAAAAAGAAAAATGGGAATCTTCGCCTTTGCGTTGATTATAGAGACCTTAATCGAAAGGTAGTGAAAAATCCATATCCTTTACCACGAATCCAGGATCAGATTGATGCGTTGGGCACCGCTAAATATATTATTGCACACTGGACATGAAAGCAGGGTTTCATCAAATTCTAGTAGAAAATAAGTCGAGACATATTCTTGCGTTTGTAACTCCAGACGTCCACTATGAGTACAGGAGGATGCCTTTTGGATTCGTAAATTCACCATCATGCTACCAAAAAGCAATTGATGAGGCTCTTGGAAAATTAAAGGACAACATCGCTTACGTTTATTTAGATGAAGTGTTAATTCCCAGTAAAACTGTATCCGAGGGACTAGAGAAGCTAGAGCTAGTTTTACAAGCTCTCTCGCATGCTGGATTTAGACTAAACCTTGAAAAATGTAGTTTTTTTCAAACCCGTACTGAGTATTTGGGAGTAGTACTAGAAAATGGAACAGTGAAACCTAGCCCAAGAAAAGTAATTGCGCTACAAAACACCGAGCCGCCGAAGGATATCAAAGGAGTACGACAACTGATGGGACTTGCCGGATATTTCCGAAAGTTCATTTCAGGGTTTGCCAGCAAAACAGCACTAATAACAACACTACTGTAGTTTCCCCTTGGCTTAAGGAAATAAATAAACCATCGACGAAATAAAATGTTCAGTGGACTGTATACTTTCGGTTTATTGTCACTTGAAATTACAAACTTTGAGACAACTAACTAAACAAAAATTATTGTCTCCTTATAAAACATCGAGTCGAATTAAAAAACAAAGACGACGCGTTTTATCTAACGTCTTGTGCTCGACTGCTTAGTGCGCTAGGACTCGGAGCAATTTTGCTACAGACCAATGAAGAAGGTACCACCAGGCCAGTTGCATATTATAGTCGCAGAACAACAGAATACGAGTCGAAGTACCATTCGTTCGACTTAGAAACGCTGGCAATAGTGGCGGCCGTCGAACATTTT